TTCTGAGAACATGTTGTTGATGCTCCTGATGTAACAGGTCTGGTTGGAGTCAGAACAAGACTCAGATTGTTTTTGTTTTACTCGTGAACAGCAGTCGAGCCTTTCCAAAATACTTTAGATGATGATGGGAGTTTTTATTTAGACGCAGCTATATTTATGCTGCTGGTGTCATCAGGCATCACTTTAGGTTGTCCAAAACGGACAGGACTCTGGGTAGCTGTGACTTAATAGTGTTTTCTTCTTGATCGTAGGGGTCGAGGTAATTGATATAGTTTTGTTTTGGATTTTTTTTGTGATATTTTACAGGCTTAAATTGTAGTAAAATACTTTTCTTTGAGAAGTCACACGACAAGCAGCTACTTTACATTTTTATTTTAGACATGACACCAGCAAGCAGTTGCTTTCCACAGACTAATCAGGGTTTTTCCTGGCTCTGAATGGACTTTCGTAGGTGTGATAACACATTTAAGTGTGATTAGCCATTTGATTATCAGTTGCCAAAAAAAAACTTGATAAAAAACATTATTACAGAACTGCTGATTTTCCTTTCGGGGGAAGTCCACGGCCTCTTTGGGAGATTCCAACATGTTTTTATATGTAGGAAAATCCCTGTACAAGTTTCCATGTTGATTTAAAAATGCTCCAAAAGCCTCTGTTACGCCAACTGTGACGTGCTCTTGAGGCGTGCTGGACTCACTCAAATCTTTTCCTAAAAAAAGACGCTTCTAGAGAACGATTAGAGAAGTCAAAGCATGAATTGAAGCAATCGTGGAGTTTTCTCCAGAATGTCTCGTCTTTCCGAGCTGTTGCAGCATCTCTGTCTCAGTAATCTGGGAATCTTTGAGCTCGTCCACTGAGAAATAATGGCTGCTTCTCCAACTCGGCTGTGTTGGCTTCGCTGTGTTCACTAAAATACAAAATGTAAGAAGTGGACGACAAGCCAATATGAGTTTTGGCCCTTGGTCCACTTTGCGAGGGCGACAACGGCGAGCACAAACTCCCTGTAAAGTTTTAATGGCTCTGTCATAAATGAGGCAGGCGTATTATTTGCACAGATCTTACATTATACCAGTGTTGCATGTGATTATAATTTGGTAAGTTACAAACTTCTAATAATGTGACAGCTTTGCTGTGTAGCCCCAAAATAACCACATGGAGACTTTTGTGCAATTTGCATGGATACTTTAACAGAATTTAAATATGTAGATGTGACAATGCACCGAAGTTAGAGAGTATTATTTTATTATATTGTCAAAGAACACTTTTAAAGTAACACTTTCCCAACATTATTTTGTACCTTCTTAGGCTTTCTTATTATGTAATTTGAAGCGTTAAGCAGTCGTAAGAGACCAGTAAAGGACTGTTTGTATGGATGAGATCTTTGCGGTTGTAAAAACTGCAGCAACCTGTCGACGCATCGATTCTTTTCTGTGATGTTAGCACTGAGTTGTGCAGCGCGCTCGGTGGTCAGCGCTGCTTTCTCAAGGCAAGGACTGAAACATTGGCAGGACTCTTCTGTTTGTGTCTCAAGTTTACATGTTCCCGCCATGCTTGCATTGAATTTCCATGGAAAGACATGCTTCCCATCCCGACCCAGGACACTCTTGCAAAATCAGTACTTAATCTCAAGAGTTTCACTTCCTGGATAAATGAAGATTAAAAAACAAGACAAAAACGTTGCACTCACTTTCCACAATTTGTGACTCATGTTTTTTTTCTGAGTCATAACTCAGTCAAATCTAACCACGCAGGAACAGCTCGTATTTATAGATTCATTGTGCCATTTCATTTCTGAAGTTCTTTGCAAATGAAGGTTGGGAAAATATGATTGTCATAAATCCAAAACCTGCCTGAGAGTCATCACATTCGTAGGTTTACACTTCAGGAATTGCTGAACTATAAAATTATGTAAGTTGTCTCAACTTAAAAAAATGCAAAATTGTAGCCTTAAAATAAATTAGCATCAACTTAAGAGGGGTAGATTACACAACTCTGAGTATGCAGTGCATTTAGGAAAGAAAAGTCACATGACAGCCAGAAAAAAAAGTGTAAGAAAGTAAAAGTTAAATATACTTATAAGGATAAGGATCAGGTTACGAGGACGGTTGTCTGCGCTGTTGTTTTATCAGAGCCAGATAATCATTGTTGGCTTGACAGCTCTAAGCTACTAGAGTCACACTTTAGTCACACAGAGTTAAAATAGCAAACTCCTGGCGACACAGAAAAATTGCATTGACCTTTTTTGCATTTGCTGACTGCAGTGACGACAGGGCAGCATCCTCAACCTCTGGGACACCACTTTCTATAACAAGGTGATTGCACAGGATGCAGATTGGTGAAGACTTCCAAGTAATGATGTAGGGATTTGTCGTTTTCAACAGTTTATCCCAGTTAACAAGCAGGTTGCACATAATTGCCATCTTGACCCATTCAGTCACAGACTGATACCAAACCTGACTGGTCAGCATCTTCGCAGCAACCATGATGTCATTTAAAAGAGTGAGGACCTTTACTGCCTTTACAGTGTAAAGGTTGATTCTGTGTGTTTTAATGGTGAAAATTGACCAAAATTGAGACAAATGCAGGTGATCGTCCCCACAAAAACAAACGCTGCACACTTTTTATTCATGGTCTACAAGACTGAGCCATTCCACTGCTTCCTCTGCAGCCACCTTGTTCTCTCTTAATCCTGTTTCCTCTTTCTCTTTGTAATCCATCGCTCTCTCTCTGTCCGCTGCCTTTGCTCTCTCCTCGCCCTCCCCACCACCCTCCTCTTCACCTTTTATCCGGTTGTGCAGATTACAGGTCAGTAATTGCTCCCCGAGTTGCTCTCACCCGCAGAGTAAATAATCGTAGTCGCTTTTATTGTTATTATGCTTTTTTGGTCACGCAGTAGTATCAGTGCTATCAGTGTCTGAATCACAGCTGTTGTTCGAGCAGGGAAGCAGACAGGCTGTTAATCTGCGTTACGTAATGCTAATTCAGATCTGTTGTTTTTGTTTTCCCTTTCGGCCGAGCAGATGAGGTACGGAAGCCGTCCGAGTCTGTCGGCCCTGCTGATAAATCTTACGTTCAGACCGTCTGGGCCCTTCTTTTTCTTCTCTTTTGTTCCCGTATCTCATTTTAACCTGAACTCTAGTTTGATCCCAACGTCACTGCGATAGAGCGGGAGGGAGGTGATGATGATGAGAGCTTTTCCACGACGGGCGATCGTGGCTCAAGAGTTGGGCGTTCACCTTGTAATCGGAAGGTTGCCGGTTCGAGCCCCGGCTTGGACAGTCTTGGTCGTTGTGTCCTTGGGCAAGACACTTCACCCGTTGCCTACTGGTGGTGGTCAGAGGGCCTGGTGGCGCCAGTGTCCGGCAGCCTCGCCTCTGTCAGTGCGCCCCAGGGTGGCTGTGGCTACAATGTAGCTGCCATCACCAGTGTGTGAATATGTAAAGCGCTTTGGGATCCTTAGGGACTAGTAAAGCGCTATATAAATACAGGCCAGGCCATTCACTTTTCAGAATAAAAGACGCCTACTCAGTGAGCGGCTTGCTTCACCTCTGAATGGAAAGAATTGAACGTAGGCAGCAAAAGTCCTTGATGTAAAAGAATTATTAATGTCTTTATGCACCTGATTTACCTTATATCTGATTTAGAGGGGACGCGTTCTGCTTTCCTCGTTTTCTGTCGTATTTGTACTCTAAATCTTTCAAAAACTGAATCATGCAACGCTAGTCTTGTAGTATCTGAGAACAGAAATATGATCCCAGAAATGATCAGAATAGGCCCAGATTTTATACATTAAAGCCACCTGCCTCATATTGGGCGTCTCTGTGCTTCGTGCTGCCAAAGCACCTCTGACCTCGGGGGCACAGACCAGGATCCTTTGGGTCCTTTGTGTTTCTGGGTCAGGACCTTGTGGATCAGGTTTGATTGGATTGGGATTTGGGGAGTTTGGAGGTTGGGTCAGCGCCTTGGGCTCTTTGCCGTTCTTCGAGGAGCTCGTGACAGTTTTTGGGTTGTGGTGATGCCCGTTGTGCTGTGCTTGGATAGTGTTTCGTAACATCCACATAAATGTCAGGAATCAGGTTTCCCAGCAGAACGTTACAGCTCTGATAAGCCTATCATTATCATTCATCTGTCACAGGTTTCAGTGGTGAGGTGGATATTTTGCATATGTTTATAAAATATATACGCAGTGTTTTAGTTAGAAAAAAATAACTAAAATATTAAAATGCAAAAATAAAAATGTTTACAGTTAAAATTAACTGCAAATGTCTAAATAAGAAAATAAAGGAAAATGAATGTGGTGATAAATAATAAAAAAAGTATAAAATTTGAAAATAAAACAAAAAATAAAAGGTAAGGCAGAAAGTATATAGATAAATAAATAAAACTGGAATAACAATTAAAAATAGCACAAAAAATCCAAATTAACATTAAAAAAATAACAAAAAATAACATTTATAAAGTAAAATGATAATTACTTAAAAAATTTAAAAAAAAACTTAAAAAAGAATCGGCAAAAAAAAGTTTATTCTAAAACAAATGCAGAAGTAGAATATCTGTATTTAATAAATAAAATGCTAAATAATTAGAAATAAAGAAATAAATTTAATATAAAACTGAAATAAAAAAATGAGCAAAACTACAAAATAAATTCAAATAAAATTGCAAGAAAAAAAAAATAGAGAAAATTGACAGCCCTGGAAAATCAATGAAAACAATCAACGAATGTCAGCTTCCTGTTTACGTCCACCTGAAGTCCCCGGGGTCTGCAGCCCATCAAACTGGACCTTGCATGTTTCTGTACAGATAAGTGTGCCTCAGTACTCGCTGTCTCAGAGGAAGTCGAGCTGTTACCAGTTTTTCAGGTGAGCATGTCTGAGCCTGAAGAGGTGACGTCGCCTGCCAGGATCACACAGAGAGCAGCTGCTAATTAGCATGTCACTGCTGAGCTTCTGCGTGTGTGTGTGTGTTAATGCCTGACCTTTGTGCGTGTTTGATTACAGGATGCACATCATGATCCCGAGGACTCGGTGGGCGAGGACGATTCGATGTCTGTCTGCACGGTGAGTCCACCTCCTGTCCTGTGTTTCCTGCTCACATCAGAGAGGCTGCAGACTGTGTTTGGAGCTTTCTGTTAGTCTTTCCTGGCATTTCGTCGGCTTCACTGTAAACACGCCGAGCTCTCTGTTTGCACTCAAACTGCTCTGAAGGAACTCACGCGTGCAGTCATGAGTCTGACCTCCTCGTATTGACGCTTAAACAGCTCTTCTGGTCACTTTTACATCGATCTGTGTGCGACCTCGTGTGCAAAAGTTTCAGTTACATTCACACAAAGCAGAGTTTTTGATTTAGCCTCTGTTTGAGAAAACTGACGCCTACTCCTGCAGGATAATTGCTGGTATGAAAGTGAAGCAGAATGTAGCTCACTATTAAAATCATGAGTCATCTCAAAGCAGGAAGAAAAAATCCTCCCTCACATCCTTGGCACTGATCGTTATCATCATATATTTGTGATGCTCTTCACATTTCAGGAGTTGTTTTGGGATTAGATGATATTTTCTCTTCAGGCGATTCCACCTTCTTCTTCCTGTGGCCCACTTTTATCCTCTACTCACACATGCTGACTTTCATTTGACCCTGTTTTGGAGAAAATCACTGTAAATACAGGGTATTTTGAAATGCATGTGGTCATGCACGGATTACTAAACAGGCCTAGTGGACCTGAGGGATCCGAGCTCAGTTCTAAGATACGAAACGACCACAATGAAGTACAACTGAGTCTAGAAGAGACACAAAACCAATAGAAATGCAAAATTACTGCAGAGAGAGACGCTGGGTATCACAGAAGTGTGCAACATTGAGACAATTAGAACACTGATGGGTGTAAAATGATTGAAAACCTAAAATTATTGGAAATGAAAGCAATGTTGGAAAGCAAAGAAATGTGCAAAACAAGCAAAAGAAACAACCTGAAATTGGTACGAAATGAGGAAAAAGCAGCAACCAAATAATAAAAAAGTGAAACAAAGTAATCAAAAAGACACAAAAATGACCTCAAGAGTGGAAATTGATGGAAAATCACCAGAAAAATGCATAAAATACTCACAGGAAGAAGGAAAATCACCCCTAATAGGTGTAAAACATCTGCAAAATACATGCAAAGTAGCAGAAAATGATGCAAAGCATTTGTCAGCAGACACAAAAGATCACAAACAGACCTCAAAGAGAATCACAACATCGCTGAATTAGTGCAAAATAATGAAGAACCATCCCAAAGAAAGTTTCTGTGTCCTGTTTTTCAGTGACTGCTGTCTTGTGTGAGTCCTCGAGCCTCTGAATGGCTTTTTGCACCTTTAAATGTTGGTGAGCCTTCACTTCATGCACGCAGAAGCAAATCAGCAGATATGGGACTGGTGGGGAAAAACGAGCAGTGCCCTGTAAACAAAAATAAGCACAGGTGCAGAAACATAATTCAAAGGATTAAATGTTGTGGCTGTTTTATGAAATGTGGGCTGGTTCTCATAAGCTACAAAAGCAGAACTGGCTCCTCAGACGTTTCAGGAGCCGTGTGTCCTGCACTGAGCTCACGGACCTGTCTGCGAGTGTTTGAGCAGCAGCAGGGAGGGCAGCTGCACGTATTGATTTTTTAAATGCAGAGGAGATGGCTTATGGATCGACTCTCTGGTAGGAGCTGAGCACTCATTACCTCACTGCACAGAGTCGGCAGCACTCACACAAAGACACACACGAGCTCTGCAGCAAGAAGCTGGATGTGAAAACATCACCAGCGTCACATTGTGTGAGTGTGTGTCTGCAGGTCTGTGTGTGTGAGCGTGAATATATTACATAACTGTTAATGAGTGACTTAGACTGTTCCAGTCAATGTGAAGCGAGTGTGTGAGAGTGTGTGTCAGGTTAAATCGGGGTAATGAGGCAGCTTTCTCTCTGTGTCACGTTGCTCAAAGTCTTAGAGTGTGCAAATGACACAAATTCACCGACCGCTACACATGTGAGGACCTTCACTGAGACAAGGGACGGCAAAGCAAACAAGTTCTGCGACGGTCAGACCACAGAGCTTCAGACCGAGCTGTGAGTAAGTCTGGGAGAAATGACCACACTTCTCACTTGGTTTATCACCTCAATAAGCACTTTGGTCAGTTAATGGCCTCAGTCACTGGTATCAGGTCTTACTGAATAAAACATGACGTTCTGTCAATTTTATTCACCGGTCGTCCAAATAGAGGATGAAACAGGGTGTGCGTGTAACTGAGACACTACATGAGCCAGGCTGATTGTAGGAAATAAAAAACCCTGAAACCTAAAGTTTAAAAAGAGAACTTACTAATAAAACAACTAAAACTGAAACTAAAACTTTGATATGGGACAAAAATAATGGCAGGGGGAACCAAAAGAAGCAAAAATGCAGAAAATACAAGATGCAAAATGTGAGAAATTATACAAAACGAATACAAAACGATAGAAAACAGCCAAAAAGAGGATTTCAGAATGATTAAAAAGCAACCTCAGTGATCATATAAAGACCAAAATGACCAAAGCCTGACCTAGCATGGCCAAAATGTGACAGAAAAGGACAAAAAGAAGAAAATGATCAGGAAGGGAGCGCAACAACCATGGAGGTATACTACAGAGAGGCCAAAACAGTCCCAAAGTCATGGACAGCAACCATGAAGACATGCAAAATGAATAAAAAGAGAGCTCAGTGATCATAAAAATACCAAAATGACAAAACAATGGCCCAAAACAGTCACAAAACAATATTGAGCAACTATAAAGAGGAGCAAAGTGATTAGAAAGAGACCTCAGTGATCACGAGAAACAGTCAAAGGACCACAGAGAGACACAAACAATCAAAATATGAAACAAAACGATGGGAAGCAACCATGGAGTCAACATGAACAGAAAGAGCTCAGAGATGACTAACATGTGACACAAACGATATTAAGCAACTATAAGAGAGGCAAAATTATTAGAAAGATATCTGTTCATAAATGATTAAACGCCTGCGAAGCACAAAATAATCCAACAACAGCAAAATAGTTGAAGTTAAACACACAGGAAGTGTGTTTGTGTCACTGTGGTCAGATTTCATCACAACATGTCAGGAGACGCTTTGGTGCAGATCTTTGCTGAGACTTGGTGAATCTTCGTGAGTCAGCTAACTTCCAAAGCTTGCTTTATAATTTCCATCCTGAACTCCTGAAAAGCCTCGAGGCTATCGTGAAGAGTGGGCAGGGAGCACTGAATTTAATTTCAAACATTTCAGAGACGTAAAAACCTCACATGCAGAATCACTTAAAACATGCTTCTGCTTTTTTTTAAACTCTTTAAGTTGTGCTTGCTATGTCCATTAATGGGTCGACCCGTGGTGCCAACAGCAGTCACTGATGTTTGACCACGAGCCAAAAGGAAATTCACCAGCAGCTTTGCAAAGTAGGATTTCATTTCCACAAATATAGCAGATATTTTTGTTTATCGTTTGGCAGGAAATGAGAGGAACTGCTGTGGTTTGTTATCTAAAGTGACAGAGACTCATTGGATTGGCTTATATGTGCACTCACATGTGCAGACAACCGCCCAACTACCCCTGTGAGCCAGTAAGAGCCGATAAAAAACAGACTAAAAGGAAGCACTGAAAACACACACACACACACACACACACACACACACACACACACACCTCAGCTCTCATTCACGCACACACTCGCTCAGATCCTGAAACACCTCCATCACAGCGCTGTTGCATCCATTGAGTCGATAACACATACACACACTATCATGAGCTCAGGTGTGACTGCAAGAAACACACATTCAGTTGACACACTGACATCATTGTTGAGTCAGTAGCACACACACACGCCTGGTTTGCTATCTTTGTGGGGACATCCCATTGACATAATGCTTTCCTCAGCTGCTTACTCTAACCATCAAAAATGGTCCATTAGACGATCGACATCAGTGCTGGTTTTTAAATCCAGATTGAAAACACATTTTTATTCACTGGCTTTTGACTCAGTGGTTGACTGACTTGTATTTTATTGTTTTTCACTATGTTTATTATTTTATCGTATTTATTATTCTTATGGTATCTATTATGTTTCTATTGTTCAGCACTTTGGTCAGCCTTGCGTGTTTTTAAAGTGCTATATAAATAAACGATGATGATGATGATGAAAAATGAATGGCTAACCCTAAACCTAACTATAACATTTTGAGTCCCCCATGGGGACCTGGACTTTGGTTCCCATGAGGGCTGTTGGTCCCCACCAGTATAGTAAATGTCAGATTTTGGTCCCCATCAAGATAGTAAGAATCCATGCACACACACACACACACACACACACACACACACACACACACACACACACACACACACACACACACACTCGCTAAGGCCCCCAGTGAGGCAGAAAAGAGTTTCCAGACAGCAGAAGGAACATCGTTGCTCTCTGAGGGGCCAACTAACATCTGCTGCCATCTGCCGCTGCTGTTCAGCTGTGTGTGTGTGTGTGTGTGTCAGACACAGTATCATGTCTCATCAGGATGAGGTCACTTGTTCGCTGTGGGAGCACCATGTTGAACACACACGTGCACCAGCTTCTTAGTTTGTGTGACCTGCTGCGCCGCGGGTTTTGTGCCTCGCTCGGTTTTGCTCTCCCAGCAGATTTCTCTGGCTGACTGCGTCGCTCTAAATGGTTTAAATGGGACTTCTTAAATATTTCATAAATGCACAGGTGTGCTCTTGCAGAGCTGAGATTTGTTCCGTCATCCTCTGAGAATCGATTGAGGCAATGCCAAACTTATGATAGCACCTTCTCCTTCCTGTGGCCCACTTTTAAAAACAAAACATCTGCAGAGAGGTGCGATTTAACGTAAAAGTGACACAAAGCAAACTCCAAAGAAATGCTAAAATAAAGAGATGAAAACCAGCCATAAAGAAAAGAGGAGCTGATTATTAGAAAGATGCAAAATGAGTAACATAAGATGTAACTTGACAGCAAAGTGGTTGAAAATAACTATAATAACAATAATAATTATTGTGAAA